TCGTCGACGTACACGAGGATGTAGAACGGCCGCAGAGAGGTGTCGGTGCGCAGAAACAGCGACGGGTCCGCAGTAGAAGGAGCAAACACAAGAGCCGCAAGTGTAGTCCTCATTGTGTCGTGCCACTCACGTGGCGCCTGGCGGAGACCGTAGACTGGACGCCGGAGACTCCACTGGGTACCAGGAGGGAAAGACCCAGTGAAGCCAGGTGGGCGGCGCAGCCAGATCTCCTCGTGCAGGCTGCCCTGTAAGAAAGCAGTGCTGAAGTCGAGAGAGTGTAGCTCGTAGTCACGGTGAGCAGCAACGTGCAGCAATACCCGAAGAGTGGTCATCTTCGGGGTGGGGGAGAAGGTCTGAAAGTAGTCAACTCCCTGCCGCTGACTGAAGCCACGAGCCACGTAACGCGCCTTGAAGACAGGCGGAGAACCCGGCGGCCGCTTCACCCTGAAGATCCACATGCCACTGACGATGTTCGCCCCAGGAGGGGGGACAGCATCAACGTAGGTGCCTGTGGACTTCCAGGAAGCCATCTCTGCATCCATAGCTGCCTGCCACTGAGAGGAGTAGGGATTCTCTATCGCCTCCGCGTAAGAGCGCGGAGTCGGGATGTCAAGTGCATCCGGGTCTCCCTCAGGGGTAAGTAGTACGGACACGAGATGAGGTGAAGCAGCTGCCAGACACTGGAACTCCCCGCCTCTGTCCAAGTGCACGCGCAGAACAGGGAAGTCCGAGCCAAAACTCTGCCTGAGCTAGAGACGAGCTGCGCGGATCCAGTCAATCAGCACCTCAGTGACATCACCCTTGCTGCGCAAGGGGAAGACTGTGGTGTAACGCGAGTAGTCGTCAACAACGAGCAGGAAGTAGCGCTCGTGGCCCTGTCCACGGACGCGGGCTGGGCCCCACACGTCCATGTGAAGCATCTGCAACGGGGCCTCTGTCGGAGGAAACTGGGAGGAGTGAGGGGCAGCACGCTGGCGCCCCTCGACATAGGGGACACAGGCAGGGCCAGGGCCCTGAGGAAGGGGAGGGAGGGACCGGGGCAGACTAGACACAAGAAGACGGGAGGCCATGCCTCTGAGCCGAAGCAGAGAGGGGTGACCAAGGCGGTGGTGGCAGAGGAGAGTCTCGTGAGATAGGAGACGACACGAACAGGGGGCAGACTCAGGACCAGACCTGGACGCTGCAGCAAACACCTGACCCGACGCAGCTACCCTACCAGACTCAGCAACGGGAGGAGACGCAGTGGTCAGTGTGTACAGGCTCGACCCTGGCTGACGGGTAAACGTAGCCAGGTGTCGGCCTGAGCTAGCCTCGGTGCAGTGCGTCACCCGCTGGCGCGCAGGAGTGAACTAGTGGACACCCGCATCCTGTAGGTCAGCACCACTCACCAGGTTCGTAGAGAACGAGGGGAGGTAGAGACCAGACAGGGTGCCAAAGGGAGCCGCCGGACACGGGAGGACTGTGGAGAAGCGAGACAGGACAGGGCCCCTAGAGGGGTCAGCCAGGGACACTGCAACCGGCCGACTAAGCGGCGTGAGTGTGGTGCGGTCCTGAAAGAAGGAGCGAGAAGCCCCAGAGTCAAGGGTGAAGGTGAGGGATGCCGAAGCCGACGTAGTACCTGAGAGCGCAGACTCACCAGTACCTGAGGGCGCAGACGCACTGGCACCTAGAGCAGCAGCCTCACCAGCACCTAGAGCAGCAGTACCAATGCCCGGGTCGGGCGGGAAACACCGGTAACAGTCACCCTCATCACTAATAGTCACAGCATACATTGCAGCAAGGATAGCATCAGCGTCAAGATCATAGATAGCTACGCCTGCCCTAGACAGCTCTCTCCAGCGGGGGATCTCACTGGCCTCCGGGAACTGCTGAGGCCAAGCGTCCGTCAGGCGGCCAAAGCAGCGCTGGGTGGGGTGGGCACCCCCACACTGCTCACCCGCGCGGTCGCCGGTGCGAAGGACGTAGGTGCAGGGACCAAAGCCCCCACCACGCTGACGCTGCGTGTACCACTCACGGAGCTGCTGAGGGGGGGGATGTCCCGAGAACGCTGCTGCTGTTGCTGCTGCTGCTGGCGCTGACCTAGTACCAGTGCTGCTCCGCTGCGAAGCGCCACCCCGACCACCTCCACCTCCTCCTCCACCGCCTCCTCCACCTCCGCCACTACCGCTGCCTCCGCTAGGACCGCCGCCACCTCCGCCGCCTCCGCCTCCACTGCTGCCACCGACACCTCCACCCCCTCCACCACTCCCACCGCCACCCCCACTCCCCCCGCCACCTCCACCGCCACCTCCACCGCCCCCGCTAGCTCCACCCGCGCCCTTGCCCCCCTTGCCCTTGCCAGAGCGGCGTCTCCCGCTAGGGGCAGACGCAGCACCGACCGACTCAAGACCAACGAGGTCGGCCGCAGCGGAAGAGGCGTCAGAGGGCAAAAGGGGGGAAGGAGAACACCCCTCAAAGATGGGGGTGCGAGGGTCACCACGAGAGGCTCCTACAGCGACGATGCTCTTCTCCGCTGCTAGGAGGGCCTTCTCTAAGAGGTCAACAGTGAGAGTGGTGGGACAGACCGCGAGGAAGTGGTCCCTGACTACACGAAGGGAATCAGGGAGGCGGGTGACTATAAAATAGAGATTGATGTACATGGGGTGGGGGGGGGTTCATGGCGCAGAACTCAGCAGGAAGCGCGGCGCGGTAGCGAGTGTCACTAGTGCGGAGGTGCGTAATGAGGTCAGCGACTGTGGGAAAGGCAGTAAGGTCAGGGAAGAGGAAGGGTAGCATGAGGCGGCTCAGTGCAGCAGTGGCAGGGGAAGAGTAGCGCGCAACTACAGCGTCGTACAAGGTCTGAGCACTCTTGTACTGACTAAAGTGCGCGCGCTCAGCGGTAGGCAGGTGGCAACGCACAGCAAGACGTGCAGCAGCATCGCGCGTGGCCCACTGGGAGCGAACAGTGGGGTCAGCATCAGCAGTAGGGGCAGGAGAGGCGCCAGAGGTGAGGTCAAAGAGAGAGAGACCGTCTGCCATATCGCACTGTAAGTACAGCTGCAGGTCGTCGACCCAGACCTCAAAGTCAATGGCGCGACCCTCAGCGTCAAAAGCGAGGACACTAGGGGTGGCCATGACGACAGAGACTAGCAGGACCAACTGTAGGACAAGGGCAGTGCAGTGACAGAAGCGCTGTTCTCACCAGACAGGGCGGTTCGGGCTGCTGAGGAGCACATAAAAAAACGGCAACACTGCTGCTCGGACGGCTCAGCAGCAACTGCGGCTCGGCGGTACCAGCGGCCCGGCTCCTCAGGCGGCTCGAGCGGCTCGGGCGGCTCGGCTCCTCAACGGGTCGGGCGGCTCGGGCGGCTTGGCTGGGTCGGGCGGCTCAGGCTGCTCGGGCGGCTCAGGCTGCTCAGCGGCTCGGCTCCTCAGCGGCTCAGGCGGCTCGGCTCCTCAGGCGGCTCGGGCGGCTCGGCTCCTCAGCGGCGCAGGCGGCTGGGGCGGCTCGGGCGGAGCGGGCGGTGAGGGGCGGCGGGGCCGCAAGGTAGGTGGCGGGGCCGCAGTAGGAGAGGTGGCGGGTCCGCAGAGAAGGGCGGCGGGGCCGCAGCGAGAGAGGTGGCGGGGCCGCGACGAACGGCGGCGGGGCCGCAGTGGGAGAGGCGGCGGGGCCGCAGTGAAGGGCGGCGGAGCCGCTGAGAAGGGCGGCAGGGCCGCTGCGAGAGAGGCGGCGGGGCCGCGACGAAGGGCGGTGGGGCCTCAGAGTGAGGCAGCGAGGCCGCAGTGAAGGGCGGCGGGGCCGCTGAGAAGGGCGGCGGGGCCGTAGTGATAGAGGCGGCGGGGCCGAATCGACGGGCGGCGGGGCCGTCAGGGCGGCGGGGCCTAATCGACGGGCGGCGGGCCGAATCGACGGGCGGCGAGGCCGTCAGGGCGGCGGGGCCTAAGCGACGAGCGGCGGGGCCACTAGGGCGATGGGGCCGCTAGGGCGTAGGGGCCGCTAGGGCGGCTCGACGAAGTGAGGGCCCGGAGCGCGACTCAGGCTGAGCGCGCTTTGGGCAGAAAAAAAAACAAGCTCGATGTGGTGGGCCCTAGGCACAGTTCCCAGGGGGAACCTGCTCTATACCATGTGAAAAGTAGAACGAGAATGAATTGACTATGGAATGGAAGTGATACAAATATGCAACCCTAGAAATGTGTACCCCATATGAGCTACCCCACTATAGCCTACACAAGCTTATAATTTGACAGAGTTGTGACGAGGTATACTATAGTTGGTTGTAAGGAATTTTCTCGGCATTCCTTACGGAGCCCGACTACATCGCGTACAGCAACAGCCGTTGTTCGCCCGTTACTGCTAACGGCGCTTCGCCGGCTTCGCGCGCACTGTTTCACCAAACCTCCCACTGCTGGCCTGGCCGTGTCAGCCTACGCTTCGGGACTAGCCCGAGCCTCGTTTCCAGCGTAGCACTAGCTAGCTCGCACGCACCGTGTTGCCGATTGCATGTTTCGCGTATAAATGTTCGCTCATGCCTTCGCTCACATTTTTTAACTCGTTTTGACACCTTAGTGCAATTCTCGCTACTTCGATTCATTGCACCCGTAACACTTGGTATTCAGAGCCTCTTTCCTTACGGACCGCGCATCTCCGCACCCCAGGAAATCAACTTTTGATTTTTCACTCGAAGGGACTCACGTACCTTAGCACCTAGGAGACGTTGTCCTCGCGTTCTCTCGTAAACGCGTGCAGCCACGACTGCGCCTAGACTAAGACGAGCTGACGCCCTTCGAAATGGCTGAACATATCGACGTCACGGTTCCCACCCTTCCACCTGGCGCCAGACGTCTGGGTCATTTGCGATATCTGCTGGCGATCTTGCCTTGCTGGCCGTCTCACTGGGCTGGGCGCCACGTGACTCACCCTCACTGGCGTCTGCACGGTTTCCCTCCACCCTCGTCCCTCGGTTCGTCCCTCCAGATGGGATGCCTTGCTCATCCTCTAGTGACACGTCTTCCGAATCCCCCTACTCCTCCTCCATATATTCCTCATCTTCATCATCTTCGCAGTCATTCACTGGTCCACCTCCCTGCTGTCGCTCAGGCCTCCCGTGCCTTTCCCGCCATGGCCCAGATCTGGCTTTCTCTCTGGCCACAGCCGCTGCCAGGCCTCCTCGCACTGTCCTTCCGCGCGCACCTTGTCCGCTGAGTCCCCTCCCCGCCACCGGCGCTTGTCCCCGAGTTCTTGCTGGCGGGTTTCCCGCCGCTGCCTCCGCTGCGCGTTCTCGCAGTAGCCTCTGCCGCGCTGTTCCCTCTCGGCGCCTGTCAATCACGGTCACCTGCTCCTCTTCTACGACGGCCGCCCCGTCTTCCGCTTCGGCCTCCGCCCGTTCCGCTCTTTCGTGGGGCCGATCCGCCTCGTTCCCCGTACCTGATGACGGGTAGGCGCCGGCCGCCTCGGCGTGAAGTAATCGTGGCGGCGGGATCTCCTGCTGTGTCCACCCTACCAGCGGCCTAGGGTGGGTAGGTGCCAGCCCTGTTCCGAGCCGTCGCGGACTGCCTGACTGCGGGTGTTGGCGACGCGTCTTCTGCGCTGCCGAGCACGCCTGCTCGACCAAGGGACCCTGTGTAACGCTCCCCGCGTGGGCGCACTCATCCGTTTCTCCGTGCGCGCGGCCATTCTTTCCGTCGCCGTCGTCCCCCTCGTCCGCCACTGTCTGGCCAGGCTCGTCCTCGACCTCAGCTCCAATCGCCTGCCGCACGGTCCCAGCCGTTGCAGCTCCCTCCGGCTCGGTCCCAGTCTGCATCGTCTCGCTCGGAGACAGCGGCTGCGCCAGCGCAGTCTGCGCCGCCAACCCCTCCGCCGCGGCCTCCCCCTCCAGCGCCGGAGTCGGCATTGCCTTCGCCGACTTGTCCTCCTGCCCCTGTCCCTCCGCCCCCTCAGCCCGATTCCGCACCTCCGGTTGGCGTGCAGGCGCATCCCCCGACGTCGGCCCCAGGGCCAGGCACGGCGCCGCCACCCCCTCAACCGTTTGCTCCGCCTCACGCGCCGCTCGCGTCGGGGCCGACTCCTGTTGCGCCGTTTGCGTATTCGTACCCACCTCGGTTGGATGTGGCCGGGTCTGCTCCTCCTGGCCCTCGTGGGCTTCCCTTCCCTGTTCCCGCTCCCCATGGGCCTCAGCGCCAGCACCCCCTTGTGCCGGGGTCTCGCCTCCCTGCGGCTCGATTCGGATTTGTGAGTTCCCCGCATTCCCACCTCCTCCCTGCACTTTGCATGATGTTCTCCCCTGCCCCTCAATCATCAGCTGTGTCTTGCGATTCCCCCGTCCCCCGCCATCCTGCGCCCCCTGCATTCCCGCACCACCAGCCAGAGCCTGGCATCTCCCATGGCTGCTGGAGCGAAGACGAGGTGCCTGGCACCGCTCATGACCCTGAGGTGGATTGGGATGGTGTCTCCCCCCCCGAGCCCTCCTTGGGGTGAGCCGCGGCCTGGAGACGGGGCTTACCAGTCCCGTGGGATGCACCTGGCGGAGGTTGGCCGCTGCGTGACAGAGCTCTCGTTCGTGCTTGACCTCTTGCATGACGCCCTTCAGTCGCGGGAGGTGGTGGCCCAGGATCCGCAGATGAATGAAGACCAGCAGGGGCGGGTGCGGCGTGCAGTGTCGAGTGCGCTGTGGGATGTCCTGCATCTGCCGCTTGAGCCCGCGGACCCGTTGCTAGACGATGGACCTGGTGCTGCAGCTTTCCGCACAGTAGCCAAGGCTGCTGAGGGGTGCCCGCATGGGATCGTCCCTGCGATCGCGTATGTGCTTCGGTGGCTTGGGCGGCGGGTGAAGAGGATGTAGGTGTTGCCTTGGCTGCTGCTTTGGTGGTCGCCTTCTTTTTCCCCATGGCTTGGGGACTTACCTTAGTGCCACCCAGTCAGTACTATACTTGCATGCTTGTACTGCCCCTTGTATTACTCCTCCTTTCCTATGTTGTCCTTGCCACCCCAAACGCGCGGCCGAAGGCCGCGCTGTCAAGCGTCGGCCGCCGAAGGCAGCCGGCGCGAGCCGCTGGGCTGGGTGGATCCACACTCACCAGAGTATAATGAAAGAACTGGGCCGACTACAAAGGAGCTCGTACTACATATAGGCCTACTGCAGGGGCTACACTAAGGACACAAGCCATAGGAGGCCTTATGGCAATGCTATCTAATGCTATACTAGGCTAGAGAACCAGGAGGGGCTAAGGACTGGGCCTAGTGCCCGTCTCTCTCTCTCTCTCTCTCTCTCTCTCTCTCTCTCTCTCTCTCTCTCTCTCTCTCTCTCTCTCTCTCTCTCTCGCTCTCTCGAACGAGCCGCTGGGTTGGGTGGATCCACACTCACCAGAGGTGAGAAACTGGCGGATTTTTTTCTCTCTCTCAGTGGTGGATCCCCCCTGTCAGTGGTGTGCTTTTCTCTCTGTCTCTCTCTCTCTCTCTCTCTCTCTCTCTCTCTCTCTCTCTCTCTCTCCCTCTCCCTCTCCCTCTCTCTCTCTCCCTCCATTTCTCTCTTTCTCTCTCTCTCTCTCTCTCTCTCTCTCTCTCTCTCTCTCCATCTCTCTCTTTCTCTCTCTCTCTCTCTCTCTCTCTCTCTCTCTCTCTCTCTCTCTCTCTCTCTCTCTCTCTCTCTCACTCTCTCTCTCTTTCTTTCTCTCTCTTATCTTCTGCCTTTTCGTATGTGTCATCCCATGGCAATGTTTTTTGCCCTTTGGTTCTTCATATTAGTGTCGGATATTAAGTTTCTCGAAGCTTCGATTGCCTCCCTCAAAAAGCCTCCTTGAGGCGTGGGGTGAGAAAACTGAAGAGCAACCAAGAGATCCTTGAATAAGGCTTCTCTTGACTCTCACAACGGAAGGCACAACAAAAATTTATAATTAGAAAGAGCAACTCCATAGAGCTTATCAATAACTTCTAGGCAAGCGCCCTTAGACCCTCAATGGTCTATTCCCTTTAAACACCTTTTCACAGCAAAACTAAACGGGAAAAGATCAACTTCATGATGCTCTAGAGAGCTTCTAGGCAAACGCCTTAGACCCCAAATGGTCTTTCCCCTAAGGGCTAGCCAACCGGCAATAAGAAACAGCCCAAGGGTACGGCCAATAGCCTTCGTGCGGTTATGTGTCGCGTCGAGTTTACACCGCCGGCGCGGGTCCGTGAGGACCGTGCCCACCACCAGGGCATGCATTGGCAGTGTGGCCCGACTGGCCGCAGCGGAAACAGGTGCCGCGGAAGCCCCTAGCATCGCAGCCAGGGGCCGTGCCAAGTTTGCCGCCAAACCTCGTGGGGCCTCGTCCTCCAAGGGAAGAACCGCGACCATAGGAGCCTTGGGCACGGTTCATCGCTGCCACATCCGCGAGTGCCTGCTTGAAGGGGCGCGAAGTCAGCACACTTTTCCGCTGGTACAGCTTGAAGCGGTGCGCCGTCTTGAAGTCGGAGGCATCGGCGACTTGAAGGAGTTGGAAGCGATCGGCGATGAGCGCGTACACCTCTTTGAAGTGCTCGAGAGCGCCAGCGGTGTCGCCGTGGCGTATCTTGTGCTCCGAGTGCTTCAGGTACGCGCGCAGGTCCTCCAGAAATTCCGCTTGCTCGCGTACTCCGGCGTGGTGAAATGAGGAGGCGGGAATGGTGGGATTGGTGGAGGGGAGTGGAGGAAGGTGCTCAACGGGTGCAAGAAAGAAGTTGTGTGCATGAGCCTCACCCGCATCATCTTCTGAGTCGCTGCCGTCATTGTCGTTGTTGGGCACCGCAGCAGCAGCATTTTCCCTTTCGACGCGAGGGACTTCGGGTGCGCGTGCGTGATGCGCCAAATCGTTTCTTGCATTTGCGTCTTTAGCAGATGCAGAAATTGTTGTCGTTGTAGCCGTAACTGCCGGCGACTTCTGCTGTAACAGCGCCAAAAGCGCTTGGACCTGGTCGTTGGTCAATGTCAGAGTCAATGCAGGGTCAGCCGTCGCGTCAGACGAAGACCCAAGTCGACGCCTCTGGCGCTGACGCGACGGTCCGGCCACAGGTGCTGTATCTCTCAACGGAACCGGGGGTGACGCTCCGTTTTGCCAGGGGTGACGCTCGGGGGTGGCGCTTTCGGGAGCGTCACCCTGACCCGGGCAGGAAAAACTAAAACCCCATCGGGATGGCATGCGCCGTTCGGGAGCCTAAACCCTAAAATTTAAGGGTTGAGGCTCCCGAACGGCATGCCATCCGTCTGGGGGTTTTTTTTTTTGCCCCGGGCAGCTTGTCGTTTTGTGCTAGCGACTTTGTCGCTAGCGCGCCTGCTACGTCCCGTTGAGATATACTAGGCTGCGCAGTGGCGAAGTCAACAAAAAAGCCAACCAGCAGCACCCCTCGACACTTGTGGCGCCAGTGGCGCCTGTGGCGCAAGTGGCGACGGAGGCACCTGCAGCACCTGTGGCGCCACACGCTCCTGACGCTGTGCACGCGCCAGCCTAGTATATCTCAACGGGACGTAGCAGGCGCGCTAGCGACAAAGTCACTAGCACAAAACGACAAGCTGCCCGGGGCAAAAAAAAATAAACCCCAGACGGCGCATGCCATCCCGATGGGGTTTTAGTTTTTCCTGCCCGGGTCAGGGTTGTTGGGAACAATAAGTCTTAAGCGCCTCTGTCGTGTCGAAACTCAGGACACTAGTGAAGCAGTCCGAATCGAAGCATCGCGAGTCAACCCTCGGAGGTTAGAGTAACCGCCTGGAGGTTACAGGAAAGTCAAAGGTCAGCGACCTTTGACTCGACAATTACAGCGCGACAGCAAGGACACACAACTGACTAGACATTGAGCAGTTGCCCGAGTCGCACTGTATCGAATCGCAACAGTAAAACGGTTTGAATTTATCTATTCGTATTCCTTGTACTCTTATATAAACCTTTGTATTTGCCTGTTTAATCAACTTACTTTGCCCTCACACACTAGCGCAAGGTGGTTCAATCACTCTTTATTTCAACGCTTCCGCTATTACAATCCTACTCAGACCTTAAGCTCTACAAAGATCCTAGGGCTTCTCAGCCCAACATGGTATGAGAGCACTTAGAGTTTAAAGGTTACTTTTCTCTCAACACTCAATACAAAGAAATTAGACATGTCTACAAGGAAGGAGAGGAGCTCCTCCAACGGCTCTCCAGGCACTACTCCTACTCCACCTCCTGCCTCCGGCCTACAGACAGAGGAGGGAACAACCACAAGACCAGCAGCTGGGTCCACGGAAACACCCGCAGGCTTCGATCCAAACATGATGGAGAAATTTTTCTCCTTCATGTCCTTCTACGAGCAACACCAGCAAGGAGTGCCTGCGCAGTCAAACAACAGCAACAACAACAACGTTACTCCGATGAGCCTCGACGGCTCATCCTACGCACGCGGGATTCAACAACAACAACAGCAGCCTACCTTTGCGCCGTACGAGCCCCAATGTGGCTCCGTCAGCTTCATGCCGCAACCGCAACCTGCATCGGGACAAGAAAGGACATTGGATGCGTTACAAGTCCAATCGCAATTCGCGCATGTCCTAAAACTACAAACGACAAAGCCCTTCGACGGCAAAGATTTCTTCACCTGGTCGTTCGAGTTTGAACTGATGATGGAAGGAGCACAGATTCTCGGCTTCTTCGACGGGTCCCTGCCATATCCAACAAACGGGACGCAATATGAGAAGCAGCAATACACATATCAATCGATGATGGCGTACACGATTCTACTGAGGAACATTACCTCGACCCAGCAGCAGAACATCAGGACTTACCGAGGCTACGGCAACTCCGCGGAGCTCGCGTACAACCAGCTGAAGAACCTGTATCAAGCAACAGACAGCGTAAACCAAAGCAGGTTAATGGCGCAGTTGACAGCGATTGAAATGAAACCAGGCAAGAAAGGCATGGCTTATATCAGCCGCTGCCGCGAACTGCGCGACAAGCTTCTTCGATGCGGCGGGTCAATTTCAGAAGACGCCTTTGTCACGGTGGTCATCGGCGGTCTCGGCCCCCACTGGCGCTCCACTCGCGCCATATTACGAGCACACGGGAGGATCTCCGAAGCGGCACTCTGCGCCGAAATTCATGCTGAGCAGCAGGACATGGACCTGCAAGAAGAAAGACACAAGAAGAAAGCATCAGCACCAGAATTTGCTTTTCACACTCAGCGACGACACAACGGCAACAACAATCGACAACAACAAGTGAAAACGGTACCTCCGTTCTGTCAGAATAATATATAACTCTATATATTGTTTTGTAACTGCCTGTAGTGTAGAATACTGTAGTCATAGAAGTTTCTGTTTGGTGGTGCACCTTTCTTTTTTCTTGCCTATTTGTACTGCTCGCTCTATAGTGAACCCTCTCTTTTGTCTTGACAAAAATCTCTCGACACTCCACCTCCTACCCAAACCCTAGGCCACTATGGCTCCTAACTTAATCTCTCACTAGTTTTCACATGGTACAGAGCATGCTTCGATCCTAGCCCGTGGTTTCTTTTTCGTAATGGCACCCTCGGTTGCGGCCTGCGTCGTCCCGCTCGTTCACCCTTCCCGTCGCGTGCTTGTTGTTGTAAAAGTCG